GGAGTCACTTCCTCGACTGCAAGCATCTCCTTTGCAGCATGTTGTTCTCCGCGGACCGTTTTCACCCCATCCTCTATTGGGAATTTCATCATCTGGTAAAGGGCCAAAGGTACTACCCTCATGCTATGGATCCATGGCCTCCCGAGAAGTGCATTATACCTCATATCGCCTTCGATGACATGGAATTTCTTATCTTGTATGGTCCCAGCTACGTTTACTGGTAGGATTATCTCCCCCTTTGTTGTTTCGCTCGCCATGTTGAAGCCATTTAGGAAACGGGATGCAGGTATAATCTGATCCTGTAGGCCGAGCTGCTCTACGACCCTCGATCTGATTATGTTTTTCGAGCTACCTGGATCCACTAGAACACATTTAACTTGAATTTCATTTAAAAGGATAGAAATTACCAGGGCATCGTTGTGCGGTTAAGATATGCCTTCTGCTTCCTCATCGTAGAATGATAGGGCGTCCTCAGGCACATAGCTCCGAGTCCATTTTTCTTTGGTGATCGACACTTTGGTACATTTGAATATAGGTTTTTGTGGGACATCGACACCACCGACGATCATGTGGATCACATGTTGTGATTCTTCCTATTCGTTTTTTCTGCTTACATCTCTCTCCCTAAAGTGATTCTTAGCTCGATCACTGAGAAATTCTCGAAGGTGACCCTCGTTGAACAACCGAGCTCCCTCCTCCCTTACCTGCCTCCAGTCTTCGGTTCTATGGCCATGTGTGCCATGATACTTGGACATTAAGTTTGGATTCCTTTGAGAAGGAATGGTTTGTATAGGCCTGGGCCACTTGGTATCCTTGATCCTTCCAATAGCTGACACGATCCCTGATGCATCTATACTGAAATTATACTCTGACAATCGAGGTGCCTCCGCGGGTCAGTATGTTTATCGAACCCGCTCTTACTCATGAGTCCCCGAGAGCTTTGACCTCGATTGTTTCTCCGATCATTACGAGAAGCGTTACGACCTGAGACATTGTTTCTCTGATCGACATATGGCCGATACCGTTCTTTGTTGAATCTAGATTCCCTATCTGTATCCCTCGGGGGCTTAACTGCCAGCCTGTTAGGATGAACTGAGCCCGAGGGGGCTCTCAACTGGTCTTCCTCGACCCTAATCTTTGGCTTATAATGGTTATGTATGTCCGACCATGTCACAGCTGGATACTCGATCAGATTTTGCTTTAATTGTAGAGATGCAATTGAACTCCTTTCATTCAAACCCTGCATAAAAGCTTGTACTGTCCAGTCATCCGAGACCGGTGGTAATTCCATACGCTCCATCTGAAACCTAGATACGAACTCCCTCAACATCTCATCGTTCCTTTGTTTTATCTTGAAGATGTCTGATTTCCTCGTTGCCACCTTTATGGCCCCGACATGTGCTTTTACGAATGCGTCTGCTAATATAGCAAACGAATCAATAGAGTTAGGAGGCAAGTTGTGATACCAAATCATAGCTTCTTTTCGACAGTGTTACTCCAAACTTTTTCAACAAAACTGATTCGATCCCATCGTCATTCAAGTCATTTCCTTTGATCTCGCAAGTGCATGAAGTAATATGCTCATTAGGGTCAATTGTCTGATTGTATTTGGGTATATCGGGCATGCGAAACTTCTTAGGAATGGGCATCAGAGTCGCACTTGGGGGGAATGATTTTTGTATGAACTTTTTAGCATCTAAACCTTTCAAGACTGGAGGTGCCCCTGTATTTGATCAACACGGGAGTTATAAGTCTCCACCTTTTTGTCATTGTCTTCAATCTTCTTTTCCCCGGACTCGATCCTCTTGGTGATCTCTTCGAGCATTCTCATAATGGTTGGGTCAGTCCCCGAATCATTTCCGTTCGACCTCTCAACACGCCGAGTGTTTTCTAGTTCAGCTATATTCGAAGTCTTATTCTAACTTTGAAGTTGAGCGATGGCGATTTGTTGAGCTTGCAGCATCTCGAATATCACTTGGAGGCTGATTCCCCCATATCTCATTCCTTGTGCTCCTTGGCCACCAGATCGGGCTTCCCTACGTATACTCCCTCCAGGGTCCGTGCCTAAATACGCGTTTAGAGCAATGCGTGAACTAATATCAACTGGTTCCATATTTGGCACTTTCCCAAGGTTTAGTGGTGGTACACCGACCCTATATTATTGTTTTCTCCAAGACCTTCGTTGTCATAAACATGCACGTTTTGCGAGCTAGACATGTTTCAGCTTGAGAATCAAAATTCTTGAAAGAAAAAGTGTAAAAATAACGTGTGTTATGAGAATCAATAATGAAATAATCACTATTATCTTTAGCCCCACGGTGGGCACCAAACTGTTTACCTTGAAAATACGAGTAACAATTAAATTTGATTTGTGGTTTTAAAGATACGTGATTTAGTTCAATATCAATTAATAATCAAGAAATATGAAGTATAGATGAAGGAAATAAGTGAATCAAACCAGTGTTACTTGACCAGTATCGACCTCGAGCTCAGTGACGTTGAGATGAACCAAGAACAGTAAAGTAAGGGTAATAAAGATAAAGGACAATTATGATGAACAATGAGCGAAAAAGTAAGATAGCATATTTTTTGCCAATGATTAGATGATGTTTACAAATGATTGGGGTCCCCTTTATATAGGAGGGGAGCCCTAAATAAGGTATATTTTCATTTACAGTAAAGAATCTTATTGGGACAACTGTATAACCGCCTGGTACAGATTTGTACTAATTCGTACAAATCTATTACGGAATTCACGCCATGATCTTGGGGACGCGGCGAGAATCTTGTCCTTCTGTAACAAACTCACAACGGCACTATCTCTGAGACGGTCATACTTGGCTCCGATATTCCTCGAGCATTTAGGTCTTCGAGCCTCTTATTCTGTCTTCGAATCCGGGCTTGGTCTTTATCGAATTTCTACCCTCGGTGCGACGTCTCGAGCCTACTAAATCGGGGCACCTGATTTCACCGTATACATACCGAATATAGGTGTCAGATTTTGAACCCATATTCTTAGGAATCAGCCCCTCCTGAAATTAAACTTTCTCAATTTCCATTGCATATGGTTCAATTCTGAATTACTATTTCATAGTGTAAGTTTTGATGGTAAGCCTTTGAATGCATGTTATTCCAATACACCGAAAAAGGCGGTCCGATGCACAAACATCCCGTATCCACGTAAATTCGATCAGGAGCATTAGGCATAGGCACCTTATCTCAAGCGGTATCATGTGACACCGTGTTGTCAAATTTTTTCGTAAATATGTATATATAAATCATAAGAAAAATGAAAATATTTAATATAAATATAAAAAACGATACAACTAGTCACTATAATGATTTATTTATTTGTTCACTTCTTCACATATTGATGCCGCTTATAAATATTCATTAATTTGACTAATTTTAGAAGGAATTAAATCGATTAGATTAATTTATATTAAAAACTTAGATACACAAAAGTTATACAAGAAGTGGTATAAATTAGCGAATACTTCATATAAAAAGAAGAAAGATAAATTTTAAAATATTGATTAAATTTCACTTAGTTTGAATTTCGTGAAGAAAAGGTATCAAACATTTAGGAATAGAAGCAGATATTTCATCTATCTTGTCTTTTTATTTCAAAGAAAGATCTAACAAATATTTCCGTAAGCTAAATCGTATTGAAATGTACACAACATAACATTTGTTACTCTTATATACTCCTAACTTACATTAATTAGACAACCTACCTCGAAGAAATAAACCAAAATCCTTATAAAAATAATTCCCCCGTCTTTATTTGATTAAAACCCTTATGACAAAAGAAGAATATGAAAAGGATCCATAACAACCTAAAAGGTTCTCTGGACCCCCTAAGTTTTAATAATATTTTTTCTTAAATTCTAAATCATTGGCAATCTTCTATGGCGTAATTGAGTTGGCAATAACTATAATATGATCTGGTTATCTTTGAAATCTATGAGATGATTTGTAAATGGTCAATTTTCTTAAGTAATTCTCTTTCACAATTTTCCTTTTTTTTTGGTTCTATTAATAATAATGCGCAATTAATTATTTTGGTTTATGCAGAGGCGAAAAGGATAAAGGAGCATTTCTTTGGATCTTCAAATAGTATTTAGTGGAACTACAAAAATTAAAGGAGGTGGGCACCCCATAAAATTCCTTCAAGATCTAATTTTTTTCTTCTAAATAACAACTCAATTTTTTGTTACAAATATTATCACAAACTTGTTCCAAGAAAGTAATTTAAAAATTAAAAAAAACATTTATAGTCAGAAAGAGGAACAAGAAAGAATTGATTAGTACTAGATTTTATTGATGAAAAAAAGCAAATTGTTCTTGAAAATTTAAATTGGTTTCCCCCTTGTTCCAATTCAAGTGCCTTAATAGTATTTGCATCTTTAGCCGCTATTTATTACTCCTTCCGTTCCAATTTATGTGTACCTATTTCCTTTTTGGTCCGTTCTAAAAAGAATGAATCCTTTCTAAATTTGGAAACAATTTAGCTTAAACTTACAATTCTAACCTTAATGAGAAGCTTTTATAACCACACAAACTCTCTGGGCCCCTTTTTAACTTGTTTAGGACCACAAATTCCAAAAGCCTTCATTTTTTCTTAAATTTCGTGCCCAGTCAAACAGATTCACATAAATTGAAACGGAGGGAGTATTAGACATTGATTTTTGTGCATATGATCTCAAAAAGAATTGAGCATAAAATTTGCTAAACTACAAATTTTGAAATGCTTTGGATCAATGCACTTGCAATGCTGTTAACAACCAGAGAACTTCTCATTTCATACTTCAACAGAAATTTTGCACAAAAGCCCTTAACTTTCTCTTGATCTTTGCTTAATAAACATCCCGGAGAAAAAAAATATATGGTAAATATTACTCAGGAAAGAAGACCTTACCGAGGAATCAGATACAACCAAACCTTACCAAAATATTTTGGTTGCTATAGTGAAGCGCTACATATATTATAACATTACATGAAAAATTAGTTCCAAAGAAAACTTGACCGTTATAATGAAGTTTTGTTATAGAGGATGGATGTTATAAATAAGTCTGACTGTATATTGATATGAAAGGTTTCTTCAGACTTTTATTAAGATAGATAATCTAATCTACAAATTGCTTTTCAACCAATTGCCAAAACTGGTTCAACATTTAAGCTAACTAATATCTACACTTTGGTAACTTTATGGATTGCACTTGCCAAGTATTCCACATTGCTGCTTGTTACCCCTGCCATGCTACCAATGGATAATGCATCAGTCATTTCAATTGCAAAAGCATAAAAATGGAGATCAGAAAATCTTTTGTTCTTTCTGTTTACTTTCTTTTAATTTTTCTTTTTGTATGTTTATGGTAGAATTCAAAACCAATACTCTATTGTAACTTCCCACATGAAAGTAGTTTTAGAGAAATAAACCACTTGAGAAATTTCTTGGAGAACCTGTCACCACAGGCGGAACTAGGTAGAGTACAGGGGGTTCAAACCGACCCCCTTCGTCAGAAAATCACACGATATAAATAGAGTAAAAATGATCTTTTTTGGTTATATGTGAGTTGTTGAATCCCCTTGATATGAAGAAAAATTCACGTATAGTAGTAAAGGGGGTTCAAAATTGCTTTAGGTCATATGTTCAACTGTGACATCCTAGAATGTTTTTGAATCCCCTTGTATAAATTTCTAGTTCCGCAAAATGGTCATGACTACAAATGAGTTATCTTAGTGGTCTTTGAGAGCTTCTGCTGTTTCAACCTACTATGTGTGATTATATGAAGAGGAGAATGGAGGGAGAAGGGGATGGGTTGTTTTACTTCCCTTGTGGTTCTTAAATTGGGCAGGTAAAGATATATACTTCCTCATTTTCGGGCCGCACAATACAATCTGCAGTGTCATGTATATTGATATTAGTATGTAAATTCAAGAAATCTGATTTAAGTACCTGATGCGTCCATCATTAGTCATGTATATATGGAAATCCCTCTGCAATCGGTCAACCTCTTTAGGGGATAAACCAGAGAAGTAAAACATTCCGACCTGAAATTTCGATATTTAGCAGCTGCATTTGATATACCCGGTTGCAAAAAAGACTTAAGAATACCTGCTTGGTTATATGTTCCCAGTTTGCAGACGAATTCAATTCTTCAAGAGTTCGACGTAATGTGATTCTCATTCTGATCATGCGATCAGCCATGACCTTAAACAAAAGATATAATCAGTAAAGAGTAAGGAAATGGAATGGTAATTAGAACCTAGTAATACGAACATCAATTACCTTAATTTCCTCTTCCCAAAGTGCCTTTAAATCAGCATCGTTCAAGATTGTAGATACTAATAGTGGGCCGTGAAGAGGAGAGCTACTGTACATTGCCCTGACAATCTGCTGGAACTGACTCTTGATTGCAGTGGCTTGCTTTTCATCCCTGGAGACAATACTGGTTTCCACAAAAAGAAAAAAAAGAGGAAGCGAGAGGATGGGAAGTTTGAGAATTGGAGACTAATCAAGAAACCATGAAAGAAACAAACCAAACTATCGACATAAAGAATCAAATATTTTTCACTTCCCTTGTAGCAAGACAAGAACGCACCAATTAGTCATTGTTTAACGCATGCAAAAATCACACAGGTTAATGGAAAAGGTCAAGTTTCAGTTTAATTCATTGAAAGTCTAGTAACTAACGTGATTCCTGGTCATTTTGTGGGCTACTAAGCGCTAAAGTGGATTCAGGATTATACTAAGAATGGACAAGTTTTTTTTTGGAGACTAAGAATGGACAAGTTAAAGTTACTTTGTTTGTTGGTTCTCTTTTTAATATTCAGTAGTTTTTCTTTCCTTTGTTCGTTAACTGGATTGAGTAGATTGTCTAACCGATGAACGTGTAGTATTATTTCGATGTTGTTCAAAATGAGGAGTTGTAAAACACAGTAGCTTGAAGTGGTCTACCTGACACAACCTACTCGGTGTCCGTATAATCCCATGTTTTTGGAAAAAGACTGGGCACAGCCCAATAGATGTCCGTCTTCAAGAAATATCCGAATAGCAGTAGCATCTTTCTCAAGGTCGCCGCTAGAAATTCCTTGATAAGCCATATCAAAAAAAGGAAAATGATTCTTGATCTGAAATCAATTTTCACAAGAGATACCACATAAGATAGACTAGAAAAGTAAAATAAGAGAAAGAAAAAAGAATAAATTATTTCACTAACCTTGAATAGGTGAGAGATTTCTTTCCACTGCTCATAGTTGGGGTCGACGCCAGTTGGATTATGAGCACAAGGATGAAGTAAGAAAAAGGAACGATCTGAAGCATTCTGTGAGATTATCAAATGAATAGGGTCAGGAATAGTATTCTAAACTCCTTAAGAGGAAAGTTAACAAAAGCAGAGTTTGCCTTCAGATATTGTAACCACATACAACAGTTTCGCAAAATGAGTATCCGTATATGACATAATGAATATTATTGCATGGCTGCAAGGGAATTTTCTCTATTACATTTTTCAGGTAGGAGGATCATATACATCATTGTTTCTAATATTCTTTGCTAATTGGTTGTTTTATCTTCACTGTTCCTTGAGCCGAGGGTCTATCGGAAACAGTGTCTCTATCTCTATGAGGTAGGGGTAAGGTCTGCGTACACACTACCCTCCCCAAACCTCATTTATGAGATCAAACTAGGTTTGTTGTTGTTGTTATATTGTTGAGGATCATATACAAAGTTACTTTCTGACATGATTATTCAGCAAAGAATTTATTGGCTATGTTGCTCGGACGACACTCTAAAAATGTTGTCGCTCGTGTCGGATCCTCCAAAAAATGCGCTTACTTTTGGACAAGGGCGAAGCTACATGTCTTAAAGGGTGGTCAACTGACCATCCTTAGTCACAAAATTATACTGCGGATGTAGAACATTAAGTTTTAGAAGTATAAAACATATATTGAACACTCTTCGTTGGAGAAAGTTTTTTACTTTTTTCAAGTTTGAACACTCTTGAGGAAATTCATGGCTTCGCTAATGCTTTTGGAGGATCCGACACGCACCCAATAATATTTTTGAAGAGTCCGAGCAACATAGTTATTGGTTACATCTAAATAGCTCAGCAACATAATCCATCTTTTACAAAGGTACACAATCTCATATGTGCAGGAAAAGGGTGTAAAGTCATGTAAGGATGTAAGAATTAGCAGTACAGTTAAGCAAATATTTCACAACAAAATTTGAGAAAACTCATCTTATCCTCCAGCGTAAAACCGAACCTTGATATCATTCATGAGGGCTTGAAATTGCAATCCTTTTGTATCAGGATCATAATAGTGGTAGGTACTTGTACAAACTTCAGAATCCCTCCAAATGTCATTGTGGCTAAAAAGAACACACTTCAATCACATTACAAATTTATCACGACGTGGCATGAACACGAATTATAAACATGAAAAGCATTTACTTGGACCAAGTTGGCATTGGTAGAAACATTCGTGAGTCAGGATAGAAGCGCCTTTGGAATTCAGCAAACAGACGGCATGCACCAGTCCCTGAAAGAGCTGGAACTCCAGCAAACCTGCTTTCTCTAACAACATCAGAGTCATATCCATAAGCCAATTTCACACAGTCCTGCACGAACTTTGACTTTGTTGTTGCTTTAGTTGATTCCCTGCCAAGACCGGCCCAATATTAGACCAAGCGACATGTTAACAAGAGAGAGAAACGTGAAAATGGAACTGCGGTCCCATATCCAATGTAAGCTTTAAAAGAAAATTGACTGTTCAAAAGCACAACACAGAACTACACGCCGGTATATGAACGAGAAAAACAATGGTCATGGTTGCAGTGAAATAGGATGAATCCAGAAAACGTTCCTCATTGAATATTTTGCAAATATCGTGAAAGTATTTTAGCACTCAACCAAAAAATGTTAAAAGGTAACGAGTGAGGTAATCCAAGAACCTTATAAAACACTTTGGATGCTTTTATACATCGAATGTGGGACATTTTGGGCATAAATATTGTTCCACTCTTTGCAAATACTGAATCCAGTAGTTTGGCAATTGCAAATACTGAATTCCATAATTTAGACTTCGAGTAAAATATTGAAACACTGGGTTGAAAGTGTATTTTAAGTGAAGTACTGCTTTGCACTTACAAATCTTCAATTGTTTTCTAAGTGAAGTTCATTCCAATCAATAGGTCAACTCCACGGATTTTTTTCAACTTCAACTCAAACATTGTCCCACACCTAAGTAGTAAGAAAAAACTGAAGTACATATGAGCGCGGACATTGCCCAACCTCTTCAGTAAAAGCAATACGTATCGATCCCAAACTAGTTGGTTTTAGCTATATACAACAACAACATACTCAGTGTGATCCCCGAGTGGGGTCTGGGGAGGGTGGGTGTAGAATACTTAATAGTTGTCCTGCGCCACCTAAAAACCTTTTTAGCCGTTTTATTTCAATACACAATAATATTCTCATCCCCTTCAATCCTAAAGATATAGACTAAATAATGAGCAATATTAGTCGTCCAACAGCTGAAAAAATAGATGAAATATAAATATCGCTGCAATAACTTGAAAAGCCTTCCCATATGTTGTTTTACTGAACTCCTTCCCTTCCTTGAAGGGACNAGTTTGTCACCTTTGGCTTCCTAAGAGCTTTTCCTAGACTAAATTTCTAGTTAAAATGCTTTCACTTTTCAATGAAAAAAATTAACAAGTTGTTCATGTAATTTCCAATAAGAATTTAGAAAATTAAGCAAGAGACAAATTTGAGTAATTAGATAAGGGAATTCTCCAAAATATGATCTGATTAAATCAAAACTCATGAACTTCGAGCAGACTCATTAAACCAAAGTTAGAGCAACATCACCCCGCATTCAGGTAGGGTCCACGGAAGGGATATAATATAGGCAGTGTACGGCTAGAACCATTGCTCCAAGGCTCCCGCCAATGCGAAACAATAAGGTCAAAAAATTTATTAAAAAAATATTACTCACAAAAACTCGCAGTCTGATATCTTTTCCATAGCTTTTTTAACACATTCAAGAGTAACTGGTTTTCCTTCATCATCTCTATAAGCTCCCTAAGAACAAAAAAGTGTGACAAAATAAAATAATCATCAATCCAGAAGGAGAAAAATGCTAATGAATAAAGTTAAAAAAAGAAAAAAAGAAAAAAAAAAGAAATAGAAAGAACATTACCACACCAAGATTGAGCTTTAAAGGACTTGGGTCAAAGAGGAAAGACTCAGTGACACTAGTGATTGGATCCTTAGGAACTGGTTGTACATGGTCCCACCATCCCATATTGTTTTTGCCATTTGTTGCTACTGAGGTTGACATCCTTCTTTTACTGAATCTAACAACATATCTGCTCCACATGTTGATTCTCTTGCTCTGTTCTTTTCTTGAATTGAGATAGACACAGAGTTTAGGAAATTAAAGCCTCTATTGAGTTGGGATTGTAAAATCAGGAAAAAAGAATGCAAAACTTCAAGTTGGTATTTTTACAGAGGAAAAAATTGAGTAGTAGATATAATATGATATGTTATGAGATATGTTATTGGAATGCTAGGGAAAGAAGACATTGAAAGCTCTGGTTTGCTACTCTTCCAATGGGCTGTCTTCTCTGCCAGTTTCTTCTCTTTGTCAAAAAGGAGACTTGGCTCTTTAACTTTTAATAAGTTAAATATATGCAGAGTACTAAGATTATTTATACTTTTAAATAAATGATGATGAGAGTTTTAACTAGGTTGTTCAAATATCCGATTAATGGTTGGTGAACATATTAAAAAAAATTAATTAATGATTTATTGATTTGGAAGCGAATTACTTAATTTCTTTATTAGATAAATTATTAATTAATTAAGAATTATTATATTTATATTTTTATCCTTATGTATGTTAAGTATCTAACTAGTTTGTAGCATTTTACCATAATTACTTTGTAGTATTTTAAAGAATGAAGATGCTACTTTTGTCAACTATATCGGAGTAAAGAGAGATTGAAGAGAAAATATGAACTGAAGAAGACTTGGAGAGAAAAACTAACTAATTCTCATTTCTTCTGCAAACGTTAGTACTGTACAGAGTGAAGTATATATACAATATCTTTAACTAACACTTCTAACTAACTTGTTTTACATAAATAGACATAGCCACTCCATTAACTAACTAGCTAGCTGTCACATATACAAATACAATCAACTTACACTTTCAATACTCCCGCTTAAGCTGATGCTATGAATATATTCTTGACTCCAAGTTGATTCAACAGAACTTCATGTTGTGCTTTTCCAAGGCTTTTAGTCAGTAGGTCTGCCAGTTGATCCTTTGTTGAGAGATGATGAGTTTTGATTACTCCTTTGACTTAGTTTTTGCCTTACAAAATGATAGTCAATGTCTATATGTTTGGTCCTTTCATGGAATATTGGATTTTGCTGCTATTTGAATGGCAGCTTTGCTGTCACAGAACAGATCAACAGGTTGTTGCGCTTCAATTCCAAGTTCCTTGAACAGCCCTATTAACCAAGTAACTTCAGCTACACATGATGGCATGCTTCTGAATTCAGCTTCAGCTGAACTTCTAACTACAGTGTCCTGCTTCTTGGATTTCCATGACACCAAAGCCTTTGTAAATTGCACTAGGTAGCCAGTGATAGATCTCTGGTCTATAGACATGAACCCCAATCAGAGTCACAGAAGGCTTGTAGTTGTTTAGTTTCAATTGATGGCATTAACAGTCCCAGGCCTGGTGATGCTTTAAGATATCTAACAATCCTTAAAGCAGCCTCTATGTGGGATTGTTTTGGAGCATGCATATACTGACTTAGCATTTGTACTCCAAATGAGATATCTGGCCTAGTCATGGTCAGATATAGAAGTCTCCCTACCAGTCTTTGATACTCTCCAACATCTTCTAGTATTGGATCTCATGAGCTACATCTTTGTTGAATGCTCTTTCAAACTCTATTGAAGTAAGTTTCTGATTACATTCAAGTGGAGTTCCAGCTGTTTTAGCTCCTCCTAGGCCAAGCTCAGAAATCAGCTCCAAGGAATACTTTCTTTGACACATATGTATACCTTTGCTTGATCTGGCAAATTCAATGCCTAAGAAGAACTTTAATTCACCTAGGTCTTTCATTTTGAACTTTTTCTGAAGATCTCCCCTGGTTTTTACCAACAGATCATTGTTAGTTCCTGTGATAATCAAATTATCTACATATATAAGAATCACAACTATGTCACTTCCTTGATGTTGTGTGAAGAGTGAATAGTCAAAATGACTCTGGACAAAATCAAGTTGTTGCAGAGCTTCAGTAAGCTTGAGATTCCACTGTCTTGGTGCTTGTTTCAGGTCATACAGTGATTTCTGGAGTTTGCAGACTTGATTAGTCTTCCCCTGTCTAGCAAACCCTTATGGAATAATCATATAAACCTCCTCCAAAAGATCTCTTTGCAAGAAGGCATTCTGAACATCCATTTGATAGATGAACCAATATCTTGAGACTGCCACAGCTATCACTGATCTAACAGTAACCATTTTGGCAATTGGTGAAAAAGTTTCTTTGTAGTCCATACCAGCTTGTTGACTGTAACCCTTGGCTACTAGTCTTGCCTTGTACCTTTTCACTTCTTCTGATGACTTATACTTGACTTTGAACACCCATTTGCACCCAATAGTTGCTTTAACCTTAGGGAGATCAATAATTGTCCAAGTGTTGTTGTCTTCTAGTATTGCAATCTCTAGTTCCATGGCTTCAATCTACTTTGGATCTGTGGCTGCTTCCCTATAACTAGTATGCTCTATAATGGATGAGTAGGAGTTTAAGGCAGTCTTATATGGTGAAGCTAGATGATCACAGCAGATGTAAGAAGAGAGAGGATAGGCGTAGTTAGATTTTTGTGTGGAGATAAAGCCTTGCATCCATAGAGGTTGCTTGACAGTTCTAGTGAATTTTCTAAGTGGTTCAGACGGAGAAAAAGGTTCAGTAAAGAAGGTAAATTGGTGGTAAGTTCTTCTAGGATGGTATTGCTAGGTGAAAGGGTTATACTAATAGAAGGTGGTGAATTCAAGTGATTTTCTGTTATCCATTCATCTTGTATGGTTTGGGAGGTTGTTGTGCTATTGGGAGAGGTATTGAGACTGTTCCTCGAAGTGTTAGTGTCAGGAATAGGCTCTAGCACTGAAAATAAGGATAGAGTAGAAGGAGTAAAGTGTTTAAAAGGAAACAAATCTTCTCTGAACACCATATTTCTACTTGCAAAGAATGATCTACCATGTAGATCATAAAGTTTGTATCCTTTTTTAGTAGAAGAATACCCTATAAAGGCAGCAGGAATGGCATCTTATCAGTGATATTGGGATTTGATGCATAGGAAAGACAACCAAAGGTTTTTAAATGATCAAGTTTAGGAGGGTGTGAGTACAGCCTTTGAAAAAAAGATTTATAATGTAGGGTGGCTGAAGGTAACCTGTTAAGCAGATATACAACAGTATCAACACACACTCCCCAAAACTTCAGAGGCATAACTCCTTGAAACCTTAAGGATCTGGCTATATTTAGAATAGATATGTGTTTTCTCTCTACTACACCATTTTGCTAAGGTGTATAAACACAAGATCTTTGGTGCTTTCTTTGATCAACTCATCAAACTGAGAATTAAAAAACTCGCAGCCATTGTCTGTTCTTAATGTTTGAACATTAGAATTGAACATATTCTTCACTAAAGCTAAAAACTACTTCATAGAGACAAAAGTTTCAGCTTTATTGTTCAATAGAAAAATTCAAGTATACCTAGAAAAATCATCCACTAATATTAGAAAATATCTCTTCCCATCATGTGTAGGTACTCTAAAGGACCCCATACATCCCCATGCACAAGCTGGAAAGGCTTATTTGAACTAGTAGTGCTAATAGGAAATGAAAGTTTAGACTGTTTCCCTAATGGACATACAGGACAGTGATGATTTTTGTCTATTTTGCAATGTTTCAAAAACTCTATTTTTCTGAGCATATCTAAAGGAGCATGGCCTAGTCTATTATGCCATACAGATAGTGGTACATTAGTAGACATAGAGTAGCACTTTTCTTTATTGTCAAACTCTTGTAGTTGTAGTTGTAGTTGAGTAAGTGGTGCTGTAGGAGTTGGAGATAACTTCAGATAGTACAGTCCACAATCTTCTCTACCAATCCCCCTCTCCTGCTCACTGAAGAGGTCCTAGAATAGGTGAAAATCAGGAAAGAATGCCACACAATACTTCAGTTCCTTTGTCAACTTTGACACAGACAAAAGGTTAAACTTGAAGTCAGGAATATGTAACACATTTTGTATATCCTGATTTTTGAGTATACTAGATGTTCTTGTATTTGATATTGACACCACATTGTCATTTTGAAGATACACATTTCCACCGTTCAAACTAGACTCCTTGTCTAATTTAGTCAATAGCTTAGAATTTTCTACCATATGGGTAGTAGCTCCAGTATCAATTATCCACCTATCATCGACTATACTGGATAGGAAAGCAAATATACCTACTGCTACTGGTTGAGCAGAGCTTGTTGCTTCTTCATTTACTTTACCAAGCATATGTAGGATTTGTTGATACTGTTCTAGAGTAAAATATGGTGCAGAGGGAGGTGAAGTTGCTGGATGAGGCTGAGGTTGACTCCTCTCCCTATGATTTCTTCCACTATTATTACCTGCAAAGTTAGCTGCTGAAAATACATCATGACTTCCATTAGTAGGCATTAGTGTTCTTGAATCACCAGTGTTTCCTGCAAAGTTAACTGTAGGAAATGCATTTCCTTTCTTCTTATGCTTAAAATCCACCTAATTTGAAACAATTCTCTCTGGTATGCCCCTTATAGTTGCAGTAGTCACAGACTAGGTTAAAATTTTTCTTTGGCCTTTGTTGAAATCCACCTCTAGCAGACACAAAAGCAGTGAGGTCAGGATTCTCTATAGGAACACTTGTATGTGGAATTGCCCTCTAGTTTTCCCTCTCCATCATCATAGAGTAGGCCTTGTTAACAGAGGGAGCTGGTATCATCATGAGCAATTGGCTTATAGCTTGCTCATGAGACTCATTTAGCCCCATAAGGAACTGTAGGAGTTTCAGCCTTTCCATAAACACAACAAATTCACGCGATTTCTCACAGTCACATCCAGGAATTGGGGCTAGACTATCAAACTCTGCCCACAACTGTCTCAATTTTGAGAAATAAGAAGAGATCGAGCTAGTACCTTGATTAATTGTGGCAATGTTCTTATGGATCTGGAAAATTCTAGAGAGATCAGTTTTATCAAACCTCTCTTTTAGGTCATTCCACACAACACTCGCATTTCAAGAGTAAACAATTCCACTAAGCAATTCAGGCGATACATAATTCATTATCCATGGCAGCACTATGGCGTTGCATCTGTCCCATAGATTTACCAGATTTGGACCAAACTTTCCTCGCCTACAGGTACCATCGATGAACCCTAACTTGTTCTGACCTAAAATAGCAATTCTCATTGCCCGACTCTACACTGAGCAATTTTCTAGACCTCGTAGTTGCAGTGAGATTAGGATTGCACCGGAATTGTCATTTGAGTTCAAAAATAAGGATGATTGTGACTTAGTTTCTCAGGAGCTTCATTATCAACCTC